TATCCCTGTGCTGTAATAAAGTCAGATCGTTGCCACATCTACAAAGCTCCTCGATGTGATACGAGCAGAGGAGAAATCTGACACAAAGTGGTATAAGACAATAGATGTTACTATTTTCTTCTATCACTGTCAGTCCACACCTGCTGACAAATTGTTGTTTGTCAGAGCTTTTATGTACATTTATGTTCAAATAGCTTTTGTTTCGTGGTAACAGATGCATTTACTGTCTTGATTTCTTCTTAGTGATTGATAGTAGGAATGGCCGGCATATCCAGGCACACGCACTTGTTATTCCTCCGCTGCTGGAGGAGGAATAATGTACTCTCCTCGCACAAAGCATACAGAGCGTCTAAACAGAAATTACCTCAGTGAATCCTGATCCCCTGTTAGAGATAAGTATAATTAGTTATCCACAGTAATCATTTTTTGCCGCTTTGTACATGTGTGCTGGTATCAAAACATTAATCATCTGTCTTCAAAGGACACCATTACCTGAGAGAACTGGGACGTATGAAGAGCTTATTCCAAAATTAGATTTCTGTCTTTAGAGAAAATGGACTCCACCATTAACAAAACAAGATTGCATTCATGAAAGCAAAACCACATGTTTCGTATGATTCATAGATAGACCTCCATTAAAAGGACGAAATGTTTGTTTTTAAGACTGATGAATTGTGACATCTTGATTTAATCTGAGCTAATATACATAACCTTGCATTATTGTAAGTCCTCAGTAAGAGGTGGGAGTTGTTGATCTCCTTGTCCTACCATTACAGCGCCTCTTTTGTTTCATTCTCATTCCATCTTCATTACCTCTTGACAGGCACACAGTGTATTTAATAAGCCGGGTTATTCAACCCTGATGTTTGTTCCATCAGTGCAAATGAAAACTTGGCTTCTATAACTTTGCTTTTATAGTTACTGTATCCTGCGGGGGCAATTTAATGTGGCATCACTCCTGCTGCACCACTCAGAGAAGAAAGACCCTTTTCACCACGGTCCTCTGCACACACACACAGCAAGCAAACAAATAATTATATCTGTCTCATGCAAATTAAATAGCTTTTCTTACACAAATAATCACCTAAGATGGTCACATAGCGACAGCCTTCGCTTAACGATAAGAAGAGTGATTTGATGAGCCTTATGAACCTTTGAGTAGCAGTATTGATGTCATCTATATTCATGCTGGCTGGTTTCAGATACATTCACCGGATCAGGAAATGTCATTGTATTTCATTAGCATTTATACATGAGTGAACTATGAGCGCACCTTGGCCACAAATAAGACACAGCTTTTTGCTTACGAGGAACTCCAGTGCCCCCAAGTGGTTATAAGATGAATGTTGTTGAAGCACTGAAGAACAATCAGCCAAAGTTTTCCAAGTGTATGTGTCTCATTTAAACTTTGAGTGATTTATTTTGGGATCAAGGCAAAGACACTTTCTTCTTTCCAAATTCGTTTCAAATGATGATATTGCTTTACTGTTGTGGATCATCCAGCTACTATAACACTATCTAGTCATTCATGACTTCATAATGTCAGAATTAAGAAAGGAGACCAAAGTAGAGTTAAAGTCAAAATGAATAGTGCACTGCTAATGAAAAAAATGTATATGAAGGAATCAGGGCTCTTGAGATTTAAGGTCCCTGGAAGCTCAAAATTAGTTGTTAAGTTCCCACAATGAAAATATACTATATAACAACCATGGACATGTTGCAGTATTCTTTTGATTTAACATTGTACATAAAAAACGTACTTCTACTTAGTACTTCAAAATAAAGTCCCTCATTCAGAGGAGTTAATATACGTTATACAGATTTGCTGTACATTAATTTGCACACATAATATATTCCTTGACTTTCTGTTGACAATAATCATTCGTTTCAAGCATACTCTGGCCTTTATTGCATTTAAAATCAAGTTTTTCAAGTAAAAACATGATTAGGAAGAAGCTTTGTCAGTATAACTGCTTGGTTCGATGAAACTTCTTACTTAGTTTTCTGCCCGAATGATGAATGTGTGTATGTGTGAGACAAAAAGGGTACTCTGGGACTTTAAAACTGAAATGCTACCCTTAGTTGGAATATATTTATCTCCAATTATGGTTTTAATGGCAAAGGGTCATCTTGATGTTAATTAATCACAACATATCACTCCGGCTTCATCGGTGGTGACACTTTAATTTCAGCAGTTAATACCAGTACCACAGCGCACACTACACTGTGTCAAGTAATGGCTCTGTAATGACCCTCACTAACTGCAGCTCATGTCTGGCATTTATTAAAGGAACCAAACACTGCCCTAGTCCAGAATACATATTATCTGTTCCTATCAGGATAGACATATGCTTCTCTCAACTCTTCTATTATACAACACATTGTTTGACATTGCAGCATACATAGAAATCAGGTGCAATTTCAGAATGTTGTATTTGGATCGGTAATCTTCTCCAGACTATTTCTCAGAAAAGCTGTCATCAGGTATGTAAGAAGTGAAAGGAATAGCCTAAATATAATGAAGGGTGAATGACAGTAAACTTAAATGAAAGGTGATCAATTTTTAAAAGAGGAATTTGTGGGAAAATATGTTTGAATCTCATATGATACAATTGTGTTTTTCCTGCCCTATCTGTCTGTGTATATAACTTCTTTGAAATATACTAATTACCAAAGGCTATAGGTAGCCCACAACACATATATTATATGCTTAATGTGGATCCAAAATGGGATTCATTCATTTATGTCTCGTCAATATGTCCGTTGCCTTATAAACACGCATTCTAGTGTGCTAAAAACAGCAAATACTAAGGCTAAGGATCAACAAAAACTGAAGGTACCTTTTGCACAGCAGTGCTTCTCTCCAACAGTGCTTCTCTGGATGCCGGCTGGTGCAGGGTAAACCACAATAAACCAAAATAAATCAATGTATAATTCTAGTGCACACCAGGATCCTGTTGAACACAAAATTGGAATAACATATAAAAACAAAAATAAGCAAACTATGTTTTTCATATGTGGATTTTTCAGATTCGCTTTCTTGTTTGAATGTGTTCGTTTTAAAATACCGTCTATCCCTGAAACCTGGTGGGCGCTGGACTGTTTGATTTCTTTTGGTTTACTGTTTTATGAATATTTATGACAGATGTCAAGAGCCATTCAGTTGATAATGTCCCTTTCAGTGCAATGTTGGCAATTTGATTTTAAATAAGGGGACATGCTGCGTACCCTGTCATGGCAGGCTTCACTGACAAAAACAAATGAACCGTGAATGTGTTAGAGAGATTACATTGCTGGAAACTGTCATCTTGGGTTGATTTGACCATGGCTGTCAAAGTGAATCCTGTTTGTTATTACAGTGAGTGTCATCAATAATCCCCTTGACCTTGAATGCAATATTTGAGTTCTGCAGTTTTATAGGAATATAGGCTTGTTGTGTTTTTACACTGTCAAATTCTCTGTGTTTTGAGTTAAGACACAAATGCAGGACAATATATGTCTTTCAGGCTGACATGAACCACAGAAGACTTTCCATGTTGACAGAATATAAATTATTTACTGTAATCTCAAATGAGGCACTAGTTGACATCATGACATCATATGTAAAGCTGTTACTTTCACCTCATTTAAATCAACACATGGACAACAAAACAAAACAGATAAATAAAAAAACTGAAACTTGATTGTTGTGTTTGTAGCCTATACCATGAGCTTTGCAAAACAACTAAAAAACAGAAATGGTTGAAAAAACCGCCCCTTGAATCATAGTTAGTCTCGTTTAATACTCAACAAAGTATTAAAGGAGACTATACCACTAGTCTGAGAATAGACGGTCACATAGGTCATTATACATTTCTGCTGTTTACTGTTTTGGATGTATAGGTATTTATGGAAATGTTTCTTTGATAACTTCATTCCCTTGTGTTGCTGCGTCAAATTGTAATTCCCCTATTGTGGATGTATAAAGTAGCTATGTACACCCGGGTGTTGTAATGTATTGTATAGTGTATTGTGCTCCTCTCCAACTTTGCCCATTTTCGTATTTTGTACATATTTATTTTACTTTTGCCGTTTTACTTCTCAGTAATATGTATCTAATATCTAATATATATCATTCCAATAACTTGTATATAGACTCGTACTGCACTATTCCACATGCTCACTTTATTTTATAACTATTTTTCTTTTTGTATTGCTCTTGCTATCTGTATTGTTATTATGTTGCATTGTTGGAGAAGCCTGTGACATAAGATTTTCAACAACATAATTACTCTGTAGCTATGTCAGTTTGACAATAAAGAACCTTGAACCTTGAACCTTGAACCTTGTATGCATCTCTTCTTGCTCTTTCTATGATTGCTTTGTAAGGTTACCTGAACATCAGCGACAAAAAACACCTTTGCTATATTGTGAACATGGCTGTTAGGTAATAAATGTCCCACAGACCCCCCTGATGAAAGGGGGTTAATTCATCTGCTACGTAAAGAAGTTATGAGACGTGATGAATTTTAGTATGTTTATTTACAAAATACCACAACAGTAAACAGTGACTAAACAATCAATGATGTAATTGTGCCCCAATCAGTCTGATTAATATGTACTCCATGAGGCTCTTCATGTGGTCCTGCTGGACGCTGGCAGGATCTGTGTCTTTTAGCAGGGCTTCAGCATTCTGAAAGACACAATTAAACTTTTATTTACAATATACAGTACAAATTCATTTTACAAATGATTTCATGCCCCACCCTTATGTGGCTTTATAAGTTGAACCCACAAACAAACAAATAGACTCAATAAAAAGGTATTTTTAAAATCTGTGCTTTTAAAAACAGTACTTTTCATCAGCACATGTACTTTCCATCATGGGATGGGTGTAAATAGTAAATTGTTGTGTACGTCATTACTGATATACATAGCTGTACCAGTTTTGACCAGCTGGGGTCAGTATGATGCGCGAGATGCACATGTTCAACTTTAAATATTGCAGAAGAAGACACAATTAGAAAATGGCTGACTCGCAGTGCGGGGACAATTTCCTTCTGCTCAGAGCACAACTTTAAAGAACCCTTGGTTGAAATCATGAGTTGTTACATTTAGCAAAGAGGAATAATGTTTAAGAAAGCGAAACGAGCTAACTTCCGACGGAGGAATGAATCCGACGAGGAAGAACCGGAGGAGGGTCGGTCAGTGCCGCCGATATCCAGCGGGCCTGCCGTGGAGGAAATCCCGTTTATGGAGACTACCATCAGCGTTACAGCAGCACCTATTAGCAGCGATAACTTTCACAGCAACGGGTTTCCGGCCAACGTGAACACGTTTAGGGCTATCAAGAAAGAGAAGAAGGTTAAAGATACGCCTATCATTGCAGCTACGGTGCCTGGACCCACGAAAGCCAGTTTGCTGAGTTTCGACGATGATGAAGGTAAGCTAGCTGGGAAAACCAGTGCTAAGTTAGCTAGCGGGTTAGCGTAGGAATGCTTGTGGTCCCTCCTCACATGTTTAGATATTAACGTTGCCTTTTTTTGTTTTGTTTTAGAATGCAGAAATGTTAAATACAAACTATATACGTTAACTAAATTACTACTTATAACTGAACCTGTTTGATGTGCATGGTTAACGCGACTTCCCGCTATCTTTACCACATGATGTCATGTTTGTAAACAGATGAATCCGAGGTGTTCAGAGTGAAGAAGCCCACTCACAGTAAGAAGATTGTCAAACAGCTGAAGAAAGAATATAAGGAGGATTTGGAGAAGTCTGGAGTCAAACAGGAACACAAATCAGGTGGGATATTCAACTGTCATCTATGCTGTCACATCAATACTCTAACCTACCAACTGACTTTGCATAGGAAACGTGGATCACAGTTTTGTTTAAATATACTTTAACTGTGACATTAGGGCATATTTAAGCAAATACTAGGACCTCCTTGTGTTAAGCGGCACATGTAGATGTACAACAATATGCATCATATTGCATTACATCTATAGATACATTATGATAATTATCTATTTTTTCTTCCCTAATGAAATCTAAGTTTTTTCAGTTGTACTGTTAGACATGTTTTCAGCGCATTTTCCCAGAGTATTGTCATCCTCGAATATGAATCCTACCTGAATTACCCTTACAATTCCAATTGTCTTAATGCTATCAGGTTATCCAAATGATAGACCTGCCCTGTAACACGGAGCATAACATCATCCACCCATATCAGCAGTTAAATGGTTACAGAGTACATTTATTAAAGCTCACCTTTCTCTGCACCTGTTTTTTTTCTTCTTTCTAGATGCTCCATTTCAGCCTGCGGTTTCAATCAAAGAGGAAGTTACCAGCAGAGCCGGCAGTGAACAGGGGGAGGAAGAGATGGAGGTGGACAGTACTGATGAGCAGCAGGAAGAGGCAAAGAGTCACGTTGGCCAGGCACAAAGTCAAGTGTCCAGGAGCAACATCACTACATCATCATTCAACACACTTTCATCTCTGAGCAGCCTGAAACCAGGTAGCTACACAAACACACACGTAGGCATGGGTACCGAGCCCCGGTATTAAACGGGCCCCGGGGCTGAATTAGACCGTGGTACCGTTAAGCTCCGACGTTATCTGTCTTTTTATCGGTACTGGAGACATGTAAAAAATATCTCATATGTATTATTGCTACACAAACATTATATTGTTTCTAACATGCAAAAAGACTGCAAAATGCGTCATTTTTAGTATTTTCGATCTCTCCAATCCAGACGAGAGATCTCTCTCTTCCCCGCATGCTTGCGAGGGGGCGGGGCAGTTTACACACACGCAGCTGCTACATGCAGCAACACACACACACGGAGGAGATGGCGGAGAGAACTAAGCGCTCCGAGGTGTGGTTAAACTTTACCCGTCTCGCTCGTTGCCTGAAGTGTAATAAGAGTTTAGCATGTAAGGGCGGTAACACGAGCAATTTGTCTAAACATTTAGCAAAAGTGCACCACATTCAGACGGAGAAATGCACCGTTTTCGACTGTCTTTCTAGTATCTCTGTAGCTCCATCCACGAGTAACGTTTCCACGTCAGGTATTATGTATGCTAGCAGCAACACACGGAGCTAACTCAATGATACAAACATGGGTTAATGATTAGAGGTAACTGAGTTATTTATTTTGTTAAAGTTTCAGCTATTCTGTTTACAGTTCTGTTATCAGATTATTTAATACGATTTGTTAAAACATTGTTTCTTTTGATGTGAAATATTATGTATTTAATTTAAATAAAAAGCAATGTTAGTTTTGTTCACAATTTGTTTATTTTCATTTTTCATTTAATCGTTTATTTGAACAGGGACAATGCACATTAATGAACACTTTAGACAAATAATGCTTCAAGTGTAAATATGCCGGATTTTAGCTTTGAGCTAATTTCCATCCGTAGTCCCTGACATACAACATATAGTTATGGCGCATTTCCATTGCAGCGCGTAGCTCGCTTTAAGCGTGCCGTGTCGTGCCGTCCCCTTTTTTGGTTGTGCTTCCACTAGGCCTCGTTCCGGCGCGGCACGGCGCGGGGCCACTTTTTCCCCTCTTTTCTGGCCCTAGAAAATTGTGGTTCTATCGGGGCCAACAAACAGGGCTGAGTCTGGCTGAGTATGCTAAACTAGAGAGAGGAGCGCTGGCAAGAGGGCTAGAACTACAACAAGATGGACATATTTGACCGTGATTTAATTGTAATACACGTTTAAAATGATGCCGAAGTAACAACATACTGATACCGGTTAGTAAAAACCATGAATCAATGCTTTGTCAAGTCTGCAGACAGACGGCAGGCGAAAAACCTTTTAAAATTCGTGTTTTTCTAGATGGAGATTGGCTAAGCTAACGCAGTATATGCCCCGACCGTCCACACTCACAACAACGGCCTATACAGACATAAATAAAGCAGCGACTGTATTCACCATGACACAGGCAGTCTGTGGTTTGTACTTGTTTAACTTTTGTCGAGTTTCTGAACATATATAAGGAGCTGTGAGCTCTGAGTGCTAACAGCTAACGGCTGTGTTGTGTTTCTGGATTTCTCATTGAAGATGACGTCACGGCTCCGCCTACACTGCGTTACTATAGTAACTACCCCAGTTCCTAAACTGTAATGGAAGCGCAGCATGAAGTGAGTCGGCCCTGTTAAGGCCCAACGCGGCCAAGCCGTACCGAGCCGTACCGAGTGTGGCCGAGGCCGACCGTGTAGTGGAAATGCGCCATTAGTTTACCTCATTTTTCTCTCCAAAAGAACCGATAAAAGTACCGTTAAAAGACCGGACCGATAAGCGGTATCGTTAAAAGTAGTAGTACCGTTAAAACCTCAACGATACCCATCCCTACACACACGCATGCACTAACTCTAATTTAAATGCTTGTTCAGTTTCTTTTATCATTCAGCAATGACACCTGAACTTTTGAAAGAACATCCCAGGGTTCTTACGGTCATTAAAAACCTGGAGAAGTCATGGAAATTCAAAATGCTAATTCCAGGCCCTGGAAAAGTTATGGAAAACAATATTTTTCCCAAAGTTTTGGAAAAGTCATGGAAATGTAACTAAAGTTGCATCAAATATAATTTATATTTTATCTAATCGCCGAAATAGTAATACTATAATGATAATACATACTGTATCGTATAGTAATGAAACGTAAAATGGCATTTAACTGACGAGGTATTTTGCTGGTGAGAGATTTTAGTGGCTTTAGCGTGTAGAAGCTAGTAAGCCTACTATTTGATTTGCTTTAGATAGGCACAACATGTTTCATATGCAGACCTTATTTTCCTGTTCCATGTTAAAATAAACCATTTTCAGTGGTACCGCTGAGAAAGAGTCATTATTTTGGTCATGGAAAATTAGGTAAAGGTCATGGAGAAGTCATTGGTGAAAAAGTGTATGAACCCTGACATCCATAACATTCATCTGATTGCAACTTACAAATTATTTGATATCATATTCCATTTACTTGTATATAGACTCTTCTTGCACTATTTCTATTCTACTTTATTTGTATTTACTTGCACTAGTTTATCTGTTTTATTGTGTTGCACTGTTGGAGGAGCCTTTGACCTACGTTTTTCGTGTACATATCTACACTGTAGCTATGTACACATGACAAGAAAATCCTTGAATCCTTGTAACACACTTTTTGTTGTGTTTACTCTAGGGGAGATCCCCGACGCGGCATTTATCCACGCTGCCAGAAAGCGCCGGCAACAGGCCAGAGAACAGGGGGGGGAACCGCCTCTGGTAGAGACGGAGAATCCCAAAAAGCGCATGGCACAAGAAGACCAAGACGCCAGCGACGACGAGGACGAGGATGAGAAGAGGATTCGCTTCAGCGGAGTCAAGAACAAAACCCAGAGACAAAAGATCGCTGAAGAAATAGGTACAGTCAAATGTTCCACTGACTGTTGTTTGATTATATATTGTTATCAATGTGTCTCTAATACATGAACATCCCCTTCACGTGCACAGGTATTGAGGGTAGCGATGACGAGGCGCTGGATACAGGTCAGGATGAGGAGTCGAGCCGCTGGGAGCAGGAGCAGATTAGGAAAGGAATCAGCATACCCCAGGTAAACTACTGAATCTCTGAACACCTGTATAGGCAAGGCAAGGCACTGCTAAATGCTTTTCTGTCGCTGTGTCAAACTCATTTTTGTTTTTTTTATGTCGGTCTGAAAACACAAGCACTTTAGCAATTTCTTGACATTTTAAACACTACAATTAATCAAAATAAGTTTCAATGGATTGATGTATAGCATGCATCACTTTAAAAGATAAAAGCTACTTTATTGATCCCAATTTGGGAAATGTTTGTGTTGCAGCAGCAGCATAAAAAGACATTGTACAATAAAAATGTAAAGAAATAAACAAGAAAGTAGAAAATATACATGTTGAATTGCAAAGTATAAAGCACGTTATTATAGATATACTATCACTTATTAGTTGGTAGCAGACAACAGCTGTCGTATTAAAGCCATTATGTTTTCTGGACTAGGTCCAAAGCAGCCAGCCAGATGACAACACGGTCTACTACCAGAACAGCTACGAGACCCAGCCCTATGGCTCCTCCTACAGCATGCCCTTTACCTACAGCACTGTGGTCCAGCAGCCCAAGCCCACCGGCCGAGCAGACAACGGCTCTGTTCACTACGGGACCCCTATTAGCGATCTAACCCCGATATCCATTGATCTGGTAAAGAAACGCCTGCAGGATAGGTAGGTTCAGAGGGACACTGCAGCAACACCTAATCTGAATCAGTCTTCAGCTCAGCAGCTGCCATCTGTGTGTGCTGTGGTCCTGAAAACCGCAAAACTATCCACAGCTGGAAAGGCCTGAGATGAAGTGTGGGGCTCTGTAGGGGGGTTATATTAGTCCCACCTAAATACAACAAAAAATTGTGTTTTTTGTAACTCTTTGTCCCCTTGGTTTTACGTTTTCATGACGTCTGCAAATTTCAATTTTTAGTAGTAAGGATTATACTAGCTTTGTTTGTCCTGAGCCCCATCTAATTCATCATGACTTTCTTTCCCTGCGTGTTGTGTGTCTGTAGGCTCAGCCAAATGCGTGTGGGCCACGATGCAAACGCCAGGCGCAACAAGCAGATCGAAGAAGACTTGGCTGCCTCTGAGAGCGCCATAGAGCAGCTGGAGGGCTCATCCAATAACAATTCAAATCAATATAAATTCTTGCAAGAGATGCGAGGGTATGTTGGAGACTTGCTTGAGTGTTTCAGTGAAAAGGTAAGGGAGAATTTGTCTGCTGTCCGATTAGCCAGTCTTTGTTTTGTGTCACTGACTACATAATAAGGATTTTAAAGTGGTAGAATATAATAGGAAATCCATATTCTGAAGAATGAATTGGGAGCCATAAAAGTTACTTTTTAGAGACCATTATTGCTAGTGAACAGTACTGACAAACCAATGTGCCTGCAAATGCATCCCTTGGATCACTCCATGTTTGTCCCAGTTGCTTCACAGCTGCTCTCATTTGAGTCTCAGACATTATTGTGTATCTATTATCTCAGCAACATGCTTTAGCTTACTCCATAATGAATTTGATCTTTTAAACGTTTTCCACTTCTTAAAAGAAGACTGAATTTCGTCATTACTTCCAAAAGGTAAACTAAGAGAACCCACAATAGCCAACAATATACCTTAGTGAATCTGAACCCAATTTGTTCGAACATAACGAAAGGTTGTCTCTGACACAAGCTTTTTGTGCACACCAATAGCTACTTGCTTCATGCATGGTTACACAGAATAATATAATCTTGATCCTGCAGCAGCAGAGCAGAACCACATGGAGCAGAGGGAGAGCTGGCCTTCTGTTTCCTCAACATTAATGTCTGTTTTGAACCTATTAGGTGATGGAAACGGGACACTAACCAACCTTTATCAGTATGACTTAGTATGGAGTGAATACAGTATTAACATATAGACTGGAACTGATTATTGGTAATGTTGGGTAAAGACCATCACCTCTACAATTTGTTGGTTTTAATGCTTCACCAAGCATTTAACAATGCATTTGAATCCTAAAGCATTGGCAGAACAAAAGTCTAAAGCAGGGGTCGGCAACCCCTGGCACGCGTGCCAATGGTGGCACCGTAACCAGTGGCACACTAGGAATAAGTGGAATAAGTGTGCAAAATATTTGCCGCTCTCTTTAACTCCAGGCGACTTTCTGCCGCTTTCCTCCGTGGTGCAGGGCTGATCGTTTCACCACAGAGGAAAGCACTTCACAAATTGCAGTACCCATAAGGAGCTGTACACATGCCGCAGTTTTTGCGTGACTGTGTCTTTAGTTGAAAGCCCAGTGGCGATCTGCTCATCTCTCATTGAAATAATATGCTACAAAGGGGCGGACTGGCCATCTGTGTGTTGAACTTTCCTGTCGGCTCCCAGACCGTAGTCGAGGAAACAGGGGGGATGACTCTCTGTCGTCTCCCAGGGCAGAAGCAACAAGCTTCAGGTTCAATAACCCACTTTAGCTTAAATGACTGGAGAGAGGCGAGCTCTTCTTGGGAGGCCGTTGCATTTATTTAGTTGTTCTTCTGTTTCACAAAATACATCACAGACCTCTGTTTTTCTGCTGCCTCGTTTCACTTCCAGAAACATACACACGCTCACTGTCGCTCTACCATCCACACGCCACACCCCTCTCTCTCTCTTAAAAAGGGACAGCGATCTCATCTCACTCTGCATGACCCTAATATCATAACATGTGTGTTCTGGAGAATCACAGAACGGACGATCGTCCTTATTATGCCGTTTAAACCAATTATTTAAATTTGTTTGTTAAATTCTGCATCATGTAAGTTGCGCTGGTCCAGCGAGGCTCCCCCACCCTCCTGTTGACAGTTCACAAGCGTCGAGCTCCTCACCCCCCCCCCCCCCATTGATAATTCACGATCGTCGGCACGCTGATAACAATTTTTTTTTGTAATGGCACTTCATATCAAAAAGGTTGCCGACCCCTGGTCTAAAGTGCCCTTTCCTTTTAAAAAACAAAACCACAAACAAAATGTTTGAGATACTGAGTTTTCACCCAACACTAGTGATATTTTGGTTCCATTATTGTGTCCATCATGCTCCTCTTGTCCCTCCAGCAAGACACCACTGTGACTTGGAGCCCCACTTTTGTTTGGGTCAAAGGTCACAAAAGGCATCATATCTTTCAGGTGCCTGCTGTTCTGGAGTTGGAGGCTGCCATGCACCAGTTACTAAGGCAACGGGCCTCACGACTTGTCCAGAGAAGACAGGATGATATTAAAGATGAATCGTCGGAGTTTGCAAGCCTTTCAAGTCAGTCCATCTTGAAGGTTTTTATGATTTACTTGAACGGCCTCGTTAGTTCTCTGTATGTGAGCGTGTATGCTGTTCACATTCTCATTTCCCACCGCCCTCTTTATGTTTCCCTCATAAGTATGATTAAGAGTTATTGAGGTGTGATTTTGAGTGAGCGAGCATGTATGCATGTACGTATGAGAACTGTTTTATGTGAGGAGCTGTTTCGGCTGCTCTTTATTGGCCGAACAATCAGTCACTTGGTAAAGATAAACACTTATCTGTTAGTGACTTGTCACCTGTCACTTGCACTGTAAAATGTTGGAAGTCGCAGCAAGGTAAGTGACTAGAAAATGAATGATACCAAAATGATTTGTTACAAATATGATGTCTTATTGTTTGGTGTACCCTTTTGTATATTAGAAGATTTAGTTTAAAATTCTAAATTGATTCATTATTTTGAAAACTTTTAATGTCTATTTATCCTATTTCATCTAATTTATTTTGTAACTCACTTTAAATCAATATATTTAGTACTCTGTTCTGTGGGATGTTGAGGGCCTAGAATAAAAATGAAGGTTATGGGATGTCTCATCTTGTCATTGCTGGTCCTAACATGGCTCCTGTCTCTTGCAGATAAAGCTGTCATGGCTCCTAATCTGGACTCATTCGGTCGAGACCGCGCAGTATACCAAGAGAACAGCCGTCAGAGGAGGATAGCCGAAAGAGAAGCACGACGGTATGAAGCTCAACCGTACTAAGAATATATCTTTCCAGGATTTTTGTATGCATTAAGTTTCTAGGATAACAGAGTGGATTGTGACTTGGCAATGTTTTTTTCCTTACCTCATCCTGATGCTACAAATTGAGATTATCTCGTTGTGCTTTTACATGCAAAATGATAGCCCTAATTGTAGCTTGATTTGGCCATGTATAAAATTATATAAAAGTTATTATATAAAGTTTTATATATTTATAAATATATAAAAGCCATCATAAATTCTGACTATGGGGGAGTCATTTCAGGGCCAATACCGTGGTTTCTGTGTACAGGGTTCTTACGGTCATTAAAAACCTGGAAAAGTCATGGAAATTCAAAATGCTAATTCCAGGCCCTGGAAAAGTTATGGAAAACAATATTTTTCCCAAAGTTTTGGAAAAGTCATGGAAATGTAACTAAAGTTGCATCAAATATAATTTATATTTTATCTAATCGCCGAAATAGTAATACTATAATGATAATACATACTGTATCGTATAGTAATGAAACGTAAAATGGCATTTAACTGACAAGGTATTTTGCTGGTGAGAGATTTTAGTGGCTTTAGCGTGTAGAAGCTAGTAAGCCTACTATTTGATTTGTTTTAGATAGGCACAACATGTTTCATATGCAGACCTTATTTTCCTGTTCCATGTTAAAATAAACCATTTTCAGTGGTACCGCTGAGAAAGAGTCATTTTTTTGGTCATGGAAAATTAGGTAAAGGTCATGGAGAAGTCATTGAAAATCATTGGTGAAAAAGTGTATGAACCCTGTGTGTATCATCAAGTCTGTCCTTGGTTTGAATGATCTGCCTTTGTGCCCGTGGGTGCAGAACTCGGCGGCGACAAGCTAGAGAGCAGAATGGAAAAAGGGCCGAGCATAAAGAAGGCTTATCATCTGATGACGAGGAGACATCCACTGACATAACCAGCGTCAACATGGAGAGAGGTACATATAACAAGGAGAATTTGTTGATAAAATGTGATTAAACACAGACATAACGCACATTGGAATAAAAAATAACTGAAGTCTTTTCTCACCCAGATCGGATCATCAGGGAATGTAAGAAAGCATTTGAGGATGTCGTGGAGGACTTCCATTCACTCGACTGCATCAAATCCCATTTTGAAGTGTGGAGGAGAGAATATGCCGACTGCTACAGAGACGCTTACATCGGACTCTGCCTGCCCAAACTCTTCAACCCTTTAGTCCGCCTGCAGCTCATGACGTGGAACCCTCTCGAGGTAAGGCCCGTCCGTTCTTTTACTTCAACATTTTCTCTTTTTGAAATGGCCGTAACTCTGAAATCAACTTGTCCATTTTTTTCTCTGCCCAGGCTCAGTGTGCAAATTTTGAGTACATGCTGTGGTTTGAGTCGCTGCTGTTCTACGGCTTCGAGGAGAACAGCGTGCTGCAGAGAGGAGACGGGGACATCAGCCTGCTGCCTTCTATTGTGGAGAAGGTCATCCTCTCCAAACTGACAGGTAGAGTAACCCACACAGCTGCTCCCAGAATACTAAGGTTTGCTCGGCATAAAAAGGCAGGCTAGAACAAAGTCATGTGTATTCATGTGTGTATGTGTGTGTCAGTGTTGGCAGAGCAAGTATGGGACCCGCTGTCCAACAGTCAGACAGCCCGGCTGGTGGGCTTCATTCGGAGACTAATGAAAAGTTACCCCACTGTGCTGCATGGAGAAAACCGATACACACAGGTATTGTGCACTTTTATTACATAGAAAAAGTAATAATTTGATCGGCAAAATAAGAGATTTCTTTGCTTCTTGTGGTATAAGTATTGTCGTCTTGATCTTAATTTTTTCCCCCCGCTCTATCAGGAGCTTCTGAAAATGATTGTCTTCAGGATCAGGCGGACTCTGGATGAAGATGTCTTCCTTCCACTCTACCCCAAAAAGTACAGTACTTAATTATAAACAATAGAAGGGTTTCTGTGTGTATTTCTTCAAACTGTATGATGGATACTGAAAGTGGTTTTGCTTTTTTTCAGTGTCTTGGAGAATAAGAATGGTGGTCCTTACTTATTCTACCAGAGGCAGTTCTGGTCCTGTGTGAAGGTATGTTGTTTTTAAATGTATAAATTATTTATTTAAATAGTCATCTTCAATATAGTATGAATGATTAGTCTCCCGACACATATAGAGATAATACACATTACAGATACAAATGCTAACCATCCATGCTTGATATATTTTGTACACTAACCACTGATAATAAACCTTTACATTGTGGATATTGACGATTATTTGCTGGTGTGTTTCTGTCCTAGCTGCTGGGCAACATCCTGCAGTGGGAAGGCATCCTGTCAGGTTCCTGTCTGAGGGACCTGGCATTGGACAGCACTCTGAACAGATACATCCTCTCCGCTCTGCAGACCACAGATACAGGGGAGGACAATGTTCCCAAGTGCCAGAAGGTAGGAGTGAGACCACAGGAGAACTCAATAAGTCAAAATGGGTTTTTAGATTAACTGACTTGTTTTGAAAAGGATTTATATTTTACCATGGAAGTTCCATACATTTTGTCTGGTGCTGTGACCCTGACAGACAGAGTGTAACAGCCACTAGATGGCATTACGTTTTTTTTGCAAAAAGCCTCCAGATCCTGCACTGGTTTTAGTTTTTATTGCCACACCGTCACTTCTGGGAGGCTGAGATTTTCCTGTTTTGTTGGTTTTCCATCATCTTCCGTTATTTGGCGTCTCCAAAAAAAGTGAAACTGCAGGCTCCCTGTAAAATAACTGCTGATCCTACTTTTGATTCATCCAGATCAAAAGCTTATTACCATTACAATTTGACACCCCTAGTAACTTTAAAGTCATTTCTTATTAATTCATATCTGTTCTCATTCCCTCAAAGGTTGGGAGAGTGGATGAGATTTAGCCACCTGAGTAGTGGAAACAGTGTGTGTATATATTGTATAACAGAAGCCTCTCAGCCCACATCAATATGATGGCTGCCGTCTGCCTTCCTGTGTTTACTGTTGGTCGTCTTCATTTCCCAAACACACCTGCAGGTGATGCAGAGCCGGTGTTTACATCCTCCTTGTCCTTTGTTGTGTTTCAGGTGGTGGAGTGTTTGCCCGTGCAGTGGTTCTCTGGACTGAAGGGCCAGAAGACGTTGCCTCAGTTGGAGCCGTTTTGTCGCTACCTCACCCATCTGGCCAGCTCGTTTCACCGCGGCAGTTTGGGCGGGTCTGATTTGGAACGGCGCTCTGCCAAGTAAGAGGCTCTGCATATACAGTTTATCTGTCTAAATTCGGAAATTTGAATTCAGTAATTGCTCCATCTGCTGGCATGTTATGGAAGGTTCTTTGAAAGGCATATAATGGAAGAATGCACTGCCAGGGGGGTTTTGGTGAATAATGAGTTTTGTCCGTACTGCTTGTAATATAAGTTATTCTGCCAACAGGGACCTGATCAAAGAGGTTGTGAAGATGTTGGGCCAGATGAATGCTCTGGACCACATCATCACCGTGGCAGCTGAGCATGGCATTAAAGACATCAAGCCACTTTTGGAAGCAAAGTCGTAGAGGAGGACCCGGCAAAATCAACTTTTCTTGATCTTGAGGTGGACGAACACATTTGAACACTTGGACGACAAAAGTTGGATTCTTTGAAAAATTAAAGGAATTTGATGTAAAACTTGACAGGTGCTACCTTGCCTTAAAAACAGAAGGTACAAATATTTGGTGTAAATATTGTGAATAATGTATAGAAATGTTTGCTCGTATGCTCAACATATGACTGATGCTAAAATTAGGCTGTTTATGGTCAGCGAAACAACACAGCTTGGTTATACTGGTGACAATATTTTAAATGCATTATTTATTCGGAGTAAACAATTGTTGACACAAATTGCTGGCATTTGTTCGTCTAAATTGACACCATATTCTCCTCGGCTAGCTGTAGAAACTGCCCCTTTATTTCCCTTACATACTAGTTTTCCATGTGCGACATAATAACTTTCTAATTGGCCATAAGGAAATCCCAAAACTAATTAAGATGGACAATCAGCTTTCCTTCCAGTACTCTGAAGGACAGTAGGTTTGGTTGTTTTTGGACCTCCACTTCACCCTACAGGTCCCCTGTGTCACCTACATACTGCCCCAATGACCCCCCCACAGCTGAGAAGTTTGTATTCAGATTTGTAAGAATTTTGTTTTAGCATTTTATTTGCCTGTGAATAAACTACCCATTTAAATGACTTGTGTCTCCTTGCAATCATTTTAAAGCTGTGACATTATTTCCAATGTTTAATTTAAGAATATTTTTCTTAAAGGTGGGGTAGGTAAGTTTGAGAAACCGGCTCGAGATACACTTTTTATTATATTCCATGGAATGCTCTTAACATCCCGATAGCAATGAATATCTTCAAGTGCTTTGACAAAAAATCCATGAAATGTCATCTGTGGAAGCCGTAATACTGTAAAAAGCACGACCAATCATTTTAGCCGGCCCGGCTAAAATAACTGGATGGCCTACCTGCCTGTCAGCCTTCCATCTGTGCACAAACTTATCGCGTGCCCTCATTGGTCATGTGCGCGTTCGTGTGTGTTGGAGGAGGGGCTCTGTAAGGAAGTGGCAGATTTTTTCCCGTTGTGTATTTTCAAATTCCAGCGCACTCGAGCCGGTTTCTCCAAAATCACCTACCCCACCTTTAAGTTTGATAACTCTTCTATAGACTGAAAGGTACCTCTATTTGAACTTATTTCATGATGCCAAGTTTACTTTTGTAAGCTTTAATGGATGAGCTGTCTGCATTCGTTGTTGATCTTCTCCAAAATTGCTGATTGCCTGTCACATCGACCCAACTCTTAGCCATTTAATCCGTGTGAAATGATCATGAATTTGATGCTGATTGTCAGGCAGTTGCCCATTTGTCATGGTCACTAATACAGATAGAGGATAATGAATATTGCACAACTGTAATGGTAATGAGCGGGCGGGGCTGCTTGTTTTGCCTCTGGATCCCCTCCTCCATCTGAACGCGTAACACAGCAACCCGAAACCTTTAAATTCCTCCACCACCTGTATAGAGACAGGACTCTGCGGACCTACTGTGTGGACGCTGCTTTGATTTCTTCAAGTTCCAATATTTATACTTTAAAGCGGTCACTGTCTTGGATCACTGCTTCATGCGCTCGCGCAGGGTCCTCAAGGTAAAGAGCTCCTCTTACAACGTTGCATTATGCTACATAGCTGCATGCACATGTTTAACAGTTCGTAACTAATTACTTTCTAGAATCTGTGCCCCTGGTTTGATGGTTTCCGGGGGATGCACAAACGTTATCGTGCGTAAAGTTGAGTGGTGCGTAAAAACACGATATGACCATGCTCTAAACCACATGCTCGTTTCGCTCAGACCCCATTTTACGCTTCATAGTGAGTGCTACTGTTTCCCGCAGCATGTGAATGTGGCTTGACCAGCTGGAGAAATGCTACAGATGAGTTGTATATTTGTTAGTGTCATGCAACTCCGTGCCAGCCTTTGTAGAATCTACCAGACTTAAGTCAAGTTTGTACATTTAGAGGGAACTCCAAGTCAATGTTCTGTAACCATGGATCTAATACGAGAGAAATTATCCCTGGGGTGTGATAAGGCTATGTGAGGGGTGAAGGCAGTCTGAGGAGGGCTGGGGATGCATGAGTGAGGTAGTAGCTGTGGGATTTGGAGTAGGGATGCAACTGTACGGGACTCAAAAACTGTTCTGAAACCAGCCATGAGAGGTTTACACCAGTGTGTGTGTGTGTGTGTGTGGGGGGGGGGGGGGATGGTGGTGAATGTAGTCTGGAGTGAAGGCAACAAGTGGCCACACATTGACATCCAGAGCAAGCTGCAAAACAGAAGTTGTGGACAATTTAGTCACTCAGAAAAGGGAAAGCAACATAAAGAGAAAGAAAGGACGCAGTGGCTTCAAATGTTAAACTTTTTTTTAATTGAAATGAAAGCTTCAGGTTTAAATTATTGATTCACTGTCTGTACCCAGTCAGAACACACAAGTAGAACAATTAAATCTATTGTAGACGGTAAAGTAGCCTATACAATATGCAAGAGCAGTGTAAATCATAAGTGTTGTAAAGCTTGTATAGTGTTCAAGTCTGACTGATAGTTTGATGGAGGTATGACTAAAAAAACTGATTTAAATACAGGTTAAGCACATTAATAGTATTCAGTTAAATACAATCATTTAAAACGTCTGACAGGGAGAGATAATTAACTAGTCAATTTGCAACTGACTTTATATTCTAAGTTTCTCTGTATTTTAAGAATGACTAAGTAGCTAGATTTGACCTTTTAGATACGTGGCAAGACCAATTCTAGTTGGTCTAACTTTAGCTGGTCTGAAAGTGGGTCACTAGCGTGCCGGTTGCTGCACTGAAGGGTGTGTGTGTGTAGCCTATAGCCTATACAGATCGGTGAAGGGTGGGTGTTGGTGTGGATGCTTTCCAGGTTCAGGAGATGCTGGGTCTTCATATTTCCTTTTTGCTGTAAAATTAGTAATACCAGCATACTTTTCTCAGAACAGTGTTTTACTTTTTGTTTATACTGTCACATGAAAAAAGTTACAGGTGATGTTTTTGACATTGACTTGCTAGAGCTGTGTGTAAAATGTGAGCAACTGTAGCTGCAGTAAATAGATTCAAGTGTATACAAAACATGGATCAGGGCTTAATACGATGTTGTGTAATATTAAAGGTCACCTATCATGCTATTTTTAGGCAATAGCATAGGTCTCAGATATATACAAATATATAAAAAACATGTCTATGAAGTGTTTTGCTCAAAATACCAAACAGATCACCCATTCTAGCCATGCCTCATATCCCTCTATTTCACTTCCTGTTTCAAAAGTGCTGATTTTGGGTATAAAGCTTTAAAAAAAAAAAGAAATTGATATGAATATTGAATTGATTGAGGCTGAGCTCATGCGGGACCTGGCAGCTACTGTCTAAACTAAATACTGCCGTGATGAAACGCCATATCATGGATTATCAAGGATTATTTCTGAAACAGTATGGAGCTCAAAGGCTTTCTCTCTTGCCGGTTATACCACAAGGTGAGTTCCTTTTTATTTCCTGCTTCTTCACACACATGTTCTCCAGTACAGGTTAGCTCTGAGTGTTAGCGATGGTAATGTAAACACTGACCATATTACGTCCAAAACAGTCGTGCATTGTTTCTGATAGCAACTTTCTGATAGTGCCGTGGGTCCACATCTCTGATATTACTTCATATCGGACGCAAATCTGGATCAGCTCCATTGTACCCCCGTTTTTAGAGATTTGGGTACGGAGGAAAAGAAAGGGTTTTATTTTCTGACGCTGCGTGAGTTCCCCGACACACCGGGGACACATCTTCATGTATAAAAGACATCAAAAAGTGCATTTAGCATGATAGGTCCCCTTTAATACACATTCATGCTTGGGAAATGATTTGTTGCTGGAATAGAAACGGATTTAAATTCTTAAAGTGTAACACTTTTTATTGGACAAACTGACATTGTTACTTTGTGCTTATCAACTATATTCACAATAGCTCAAAACAAATGTACACAAATATGGAATGTTAAATTACAAAATGGTATTTGTGGTTTTGCTATTGCTAGTTTACTGCAACAAAAATGGGATATGTTTATGCATTGTAGGCTAAATCCTTGATACATTAATTATTCTCAATTTTTCATTTACCTCTGAACATTAGACAGCCCAAATTATCAGCAAAGAATCAACAAGGAAAATCGAGTGTTAAACAGTTATATCATTAAATGTTGTTTTCTTTGTATACGCTTGTAGGTCCAGAGTGGTTTGCTTAAGAAAAGGGCCTTGTTTGTTTTAGCATCATTGTTAGAATATCTTTGTACACAAGCTGAATGGAGCTAAAGCATATGTGATTTTTTTTTTCTGGTCAGTTTGAGAGAAGAGGATGAGAGTAGGATTGTTGTGTGTTCAGACAGTGGAGATTACTTTGTCATTTGTCCCTCAACACACGTTTTTAGATGTTGGACAATAAATCCTTCTTTTTTTAGGGTCAAGACTTGGCTGCCTATGACTTTGCTTTATCCTGACACACTCACTGACAGGCATTTTGAAATCCAAACGCACTAAAAGTTCAAGGTGACCCAGTAAGTCATGTGGTCAGTCTAACAGCAACATATCACTTTGTTTACATGTGCCACTGCAGACCTAAAGGTAAAAATCTGTGCATGTTTGCTGGGTATTTAGGAGGAAGGAGTGCCTTTACGATGCATGGGATGGAAACATACATTGGAAGTGACAACAAGCATCATTCAACACTCAACGGTTGCATGCCGTTCTTTCTCCTCCGTGAACCCAAGTCAGAAAGCAATTCCCTCAGTTAGCTGGACACCTATTGTGAGTGCATGCATGTGAGCAGCTGCTTATAGCTGAACTGAATGACCCCAAAACAGTAAAACAATCCACCAACACAGCGGACAAAATGGTGATGAAGGGTATACTTTTTCAGTGACTTGCTGAAGTTCTATATTTCCGCATTTCTTCTGCTTTTAAGAGATGCACTCAACAAAATGACTGCCCTAAATCTAGTTATGTTGTAGGTAAAGTAATAAAAAAAGAGTCCCTGCCTTTCTTAATGTCAAACAGTGACATGTTCATGGTTTACTTTGATTGGTTCTCGAGGATCACACCCCTGTACACTCCCCCCCCCACTGACCGGCACTGCCTCTGCTTTCTGCACTTACAATCTGCTGTACTCTCTCTGCCAACACACTTTTAAACTGACATCATATCAGGTATATGTGTATAAAAAAAGGAACGATGCTTTCTAAGTCTGAACTTTGTTGGGCAATTATAACTGAAATACCTATAGTTTTAAACTTTGGTATTTATTCCTATGGTATTAATATGCACATTTCAATACAGTGCAGAGCATGCATGTATAAATGTATGTACTTTGATGCAGGAGTGTGAGTGACATTGATGCATGTCAGGATGAACAGGCTTGTCTGGATGTAGCTAAGTGTTGTGGCATTTCTGTAGCAGAAAAAACGTTTTCAAATGTGTGCTTCTGCGACCATGTACAAGGCTGCAACTCTGGTTATATAAGATTTTAAAGGAATCCAATATCATTACTGTAAAAACGTTTTCAGTAAGGTTTTCACGATCAGCTCTCCATACTAAAGTTTGAACGTGCGTGCATGTGCTGCTTGGAATAGCCAAGCCATGTGATTCCTCCAGCTTCTATTTCAGAACGGCTGCCGTCAGAGGCTCTGCAGTCTTTACTGCCGCTTGAAGATTAGTTAACAAATGCATCTTTTAATCCCTCTATCTGTCATCATTCTTTCAAACTTTCCGCTTAGATCAACAGGTCAAGCGTATCTGTAGGTGGTTTTGAGTGAGTACTGCATGTATTTTCTGATTTCCGCCATGCAGGAAGAGGTTATTGTCATTTTGACATTGATCTGCTGCATTGGCATTTTAACTTTGCCTCAACGACATGGGGTTGTATGCAATATTCAGATTGTGTGCATGTGTGTGCTTGTTCCTGTTAGTGCTTTATAATAACCCTGGTCATTGAATAGTGTTTTTATTTTAAGCTTTTCTTAACGACCTTCCCTGGTTTTACAATATTGTTGCAAAGGAGCCCTCTTAATCCATTCAGTATTATGGCCTTAGTTCTGTATTTGTGTGGTTTAAAGGATGCATTACAAAACAAATAAGTTGTTTAGAACTTACCAAAGTTCGAGCTATTCTATTGTTTGCCTTTACCTACTTAGTTATTACTCATGATCATCTATCAAAAATCTCATTGTGTAAGTATGTTGTGAAACCATCAATAGCCAGGCTTAAAATATCATCACAAGAACATGATTTAGTTCTGAAATATAACAATATTGGGATATTTTATTTTCTCCTGTAGTCGTGAAAAGTGGCTCCTTATTTACAATAAACCATATACTGTATGTAACCAAACATAAAAAAATGCACTCACAACTCACACAATATATTTGTGTAATTCTTTCCACACCATCGCAAAAAAACATCCAGCGCGCTTTATTTCTGACAAGCTACGTTGTTTATCATCCATTGACACTGTGAACACAATGTTATGCTGTAAATGGGAGAAGCTGTTTTTAATAACTTCCGTTTTTTAATTATTTTTGGGGTTTTATTACGGTGTAAAATTTGGTGCAACAAGAAAACTATTGTTTCAGTAGCAGTGGCACTACTTTGGGGTCTCTGTGGTTCTGTTTTTATGTAGAGGGCTCTATTTTATTTTGTGGATCAATCAAGACTACATTCAAGTTCAAACTATTTTGTATTTCATCTTTTTTAGTAAACTGTTATAGGTAAGGTAGCATGCCATGCATACTACTATATGCTATATACTGTATTGTAAACAAAAGCTAGGTAGGTGTTGTGTTTTAGGTGTTTGACAGTTTTATAGGGTTTCTAGGAAAACCAACACAGTAAACATATACCCCTGCAAAAGTTCATTTGGTATTGGGCATTTAATAAAACTCCAATTATACATTTCCTATATGTGATCTAATAGGCCAGGTTGGAAAGTTGTATCTGAGGCTTGATGTTTTCTGCAAAGAAAGAAAAGGGAACAAGGTTGTCACCTTAGCTTACCCTTATGTGGAAGTTTCCATGATGTGTGACATGACTGTTGCACTGTCCACATCACATGACCTTTCTGGATTTGTGTCCTCATGTGGAGGGCTGCCATTATCTCGAACTGCAGTAATGTTAATCTGCTGCATGTCACCCACTGAATTCCCTGAGCTCTCTTCTCTGGGAAATACCACTGGACTTCTGCCAAACCTCCACAACTTCGATAGCACGAAGACATTGTTTACCCCCTCCCCTCTTACTTTCCCCTGCCCTCCATAGTTGTTTCCCTCCATGATATCAATTATTACCACTCAGTATCTGAGCTCAGAGCTGCGGAATGTGCATGACTTGATGGATAGACTTTACTTTTTGTCTGACAGTTTTTTTCCCCTCAATAGGGTAGACATAGCTCCAAACTGTGTTGACTGCTCAATAGAGAGCTGTCCTTGTATGTACTGTATGACCCGAAGCAGAGGTAAATACAGAGAGTCTTGATAGGTTTATTTTCTTCTGCGATTTGTTGGAGTGCTGCAATGGGACGATCCTCCAAGGCATTTTTCAAGACAGTGTTTTCTGTGCTGTGAGTCCTGATTCTCTTTGTGTAGAACAATCTGTTCGAGGGCTTTGTCTGGTCTCCTGTGAGTGGCGTTACGTAACACATGTCAGCAACGCATCCAGCAATAAGATGGATTATCCCAATAGGCCTCTGTGTTTTTGGCTAGCACTCAAACATTGTGGATTTCTGTTGCATTATGTAACAACCCAGGAAAAGAGTGTTCTACTTGCAAGTTTGTCAACTCAAGCCCAACACACACATTCCCCTCAAGGGCAACACTTCACCACTGTGTGACTTGTGTTTATTGAAAGACTGAAAATAAAGTCCTGCGCTTATTTAAAGAACGCGGGTCAACCTAACGTTAAGAGGTATTTTAAATCACTCTCCCTCATCTTGTCTCCCTCCTCTGCCTCCCACTAGGGTGTGTGTGTGACTTCTCCCTCTGCCCCCTGTGACCCCTGTATCCTGGTTGACCTTCGCCCCCTCCCCTCCCCTCCCTGAGGCCGCACTGAGATCCATGGCGTTGGAGAAGCTCCTGGGTTTCGGGAAGCAGTTGCTGAGGGTGAAGGTGGTGGACTGTAACGCTGAGGACTCCCATCTGTCCCGATGCCTCAACACTTTCGACCTGGTGGCCCTCGGGGTGGGCAGCACGCTAGGCGCTGGCGTCTACGTGCTAGCCGGGGCTGTTGCAAGAGAGAATTCAGGTGCGTTGACATTACTGCAAACAACTCAAATATGTCATATACATCTTAAAGGTTCTAATCATATGCATTATTGTCCCCCCCATAGGTCCTGCGATTGTGCTGTCTTTCCTGATAGCAGCGTTAGCTTCAGTGTTAGCCGGTCTGTGCTACGCTGAGTTTGGAGCCCGTGTTCCCAAGACTGGTTCAGCTTATCTTTACTCCTATGTGACTGTAGGGGAACTATGGGCCTTCATCACTGGATGGAACCTCATCCTCTCCTATATCATTGGTAAACAGCACAACAAATCCTTCTTGTTGTTTGTTCACCTGAAAAAGTCTCAGATATCACAGATTGTTTCTCTATGTCAGGGACTTCCAGTGTGGCCCGAGCATGGAGCGCTACCTTCGACGAGTTGGTTGGGAAGCGCATAGAGGAGTTCTACAGAGAGAACATGCCCATGAATGCACCGGGTATATTAGCAGAGTACCCTGACATGTTTGCTGTTCTCATCATATTCACCCTCACAGGTTGGTTGTTCTGCCCTTCTCCTTGTCTTGTGTTTTCACTTTAATTTCACATTGACAATATTTAATCTTTGCCTGAACGCAGTGTTTCAATCTTGAATTTGTTACTTTGCAGCATTGCTTCAGTGGCAGATATTCACTGCAGATACTCTATTGCCAAATTTAAGTACAACACTTGTCCAACAAGTATATTCTCTTCATCAATCAAGTTGTCTTTTTGTGTTTCCTTTCCATGTCTTCTTCATTTCTCAGGTCTGCTGGCATTTGGGGTCAAAGAGTCAGCGATTGTGAACAAGGTTTTTACGTGTATAAACGTCCTTGTCTTAATGTTCATGGTGATCTCTGGCCTAGTCAAAGGTTCTATGAAGAACTGGCAGCTGGACCCTGAAGAGATCCTAAACCGCAATTATACCAGTGACTCCAGTCTCAAGTAATAACGTGGGCATATATCCTGATTTATCCTCAAATACAGGTTATGTTTTCTGCTTTTAATCATGACTTTCCTTTCTTTTCAGTGTGACAGAAATTCTTCCAACCAGAGAGAGTTTGGGAAAAGGCGGCTTCATGCCGTTTGGTTTCTCAGGCGTCCTGTCCGGAGCTGCGACTTGCTTCTATGCCTTTGTGGGTTTCGACTGCATTGCTACAACAGGTCAGTGCTGGTTGAAAGCAGAAAACACTCACTCTGTCAGCCCTTTTATTTTCTTGTTCCACTTCTCGTATTCCTTTATCCTGCCTCATGGGTTTGCTTTAGTTCAAGGGGGGTGATGTAACTAAATATGGAGTTGGGACCCTTTCCATCTTAAGCTTGTCTAAACATCCTCGAGTGTTACATAAGAGATGGGCAGAGTGAAAAGATGCAGTTCAGTGCTTCTGGCCCAATTTTGCTCTCGGTGGATTTAAAAGCACTGTGACGCAAGTTAGAGCGCAAATAATGATATGGGCTTTGGGATGGAAGAAGAAGTGCCCTATGATTTTTTTCAACACTGTGCAGATCTACACCTGTGAATGGGTGTATGTGTTCACGTTTGTAGTTTAATTCTGTTAAATCAATTCAAGGCCCCTGAGTTGAAAAAGTGAAAAAGAGAGAGATTCTTCCAGTTTGCCTGCTCTCTGGCCCCCCGGCTTTTCACACCCCTCTGGTTCCTAGATTCTTATTGGTTAACGTGACATTAACCCTGAATGGGTGCTTGACTTGTCTTGTTGGGGCATGTCTGTCACACACACTCACAGGGAGCCCTAAACCATGTTATCATGTGTGTGTATGTGTGTGATTACTCTGGCTACACAGAGTTAAGTTGGCATGTAGCCATCATCCCCTCCCCTCCCCCCACACACACACACACACACATACACACACACACTCATAGGCGTGCATCCAAACAACTGTTATCACTGTTATGCATATGACCCCGGACCTTCCAATAATCTGGGCCGATCAGCAGCTGTCACTTGTCACGGTCACTGTTGTAGGAGAAGATCCAGACAGTATTACACACACTCCATCATCGCGTGTGATTTCACTGCAGAACAAGACTTGAGTGTTCGTCTGTTGCATAATCACCTGCAGTCGAATAGTTTCAGTCTTGTGGGTGCACGGAAAAATAAGCTCCTTGTTCAGTTTCCACATTAACTCATTTCTGCCGATATCCCCATAAAAGAGTGTAAGGTGTTTACAAGTTGCTCAAACCTTTAATTAAAGTGTCAAAAGTTACCGTTTAAGAAAAATTGTAAAGTCACCCAAATGTATGCAGTTAGTATTCCTGCATCCTCGGTTGCTGACAGTAATTTGTAGCAACGCCCAATGTTATTGAGCAGTTGATCATGCAGATTTGTGTCTTGGAAAAAACACAACAAATAAGTAGATTGTGGTGAATTTTATTTATTGACATAGTTGTGAATATCCTAACACAAGGGACATGGAAAAGCTGTCTATCCTACTATTTTTGATAAAAAGTGTAACATAGAGCGAGCTTTTACAAATACAGGCGTATGACTTGCTCATTTATTTATTCCTTTATTTATACATTGGGACCTTATTGTTAATGATTACTCAAAGTTTTGTTTTTCACCCGAAATGATGCTCTCTAAAAGTCACATGTGTTCTATCTGTGGTGCAATACAAAATATAGTATTGTTACGCAAGATAATTAAAGGGGACCTATCATGCAAAATGCACTTTTGTACCTCTTTTATACATGAATATGTGTCCCCGGTGTTCCAGGGAACTCACCAAGTGTCAGAAAACACAACCCTCTCTATTTTCCTCCATACCCAAATCTCTAAAAAAGGGGCTGCAACGGATCTGACAAAAACTGATCCAGATTTGAACACTGTCCTGACGTCAGGACAGTGGCGCTACGGCTATTGGGCCAACTCCACCAATCAGGAGGAGACAGCCACGGCCATTGCCGTTCGAAAGCGCTGGAGACGCTGTAGTACATATGCCAGGCCTGTAGATGGTGCTGTTCTCACTGAATCAGCCCTTGCAAAAACAGAGCTAGAAATTGTCAAATTGAGCAAAATGAGGCATGGCTAAAATGCATGATCTGTTTGGTATTTTGAAGGAAAAAAAAAGCAAATATAGGTATGGTCCTACACTATATTATTCAAATATAGCATGATAGGTCCACTTTAAGTCACAACAGTATGTGTTGTAGGGTTGTAACCATACGTAATGATTACCAGGATAATATTATTATTTTAATTTGGCCATATAATATCAATCCATGCCTAGCACTATGAAATAATAAAGAAGTATTAGTAGTATTAATAAGAAGTATTATAGTACTTTTCCCCTGTTTAACTGTGTCTTTTGCTCGTCTATGCCCTCAGGTGAAGAGGTGAAGAACCCCCAGAAAGCGATCCCTATCGGCATCGTGTCCTCCCTGCTCATCTGCTTTGTGGCGTACTTTGGTGTTTCTGCGGCCCTCACTCTCATGATGCCGTACTACCTGCTGGACGGCAAAAGCCCTCTGCCTGTGGCTTTTAAATATGTGGGCTGGGGAGGAGCCAAATACGCTGTGGCTGTAGGCTCTCTTTGTGCTCTGTCTACTAGGTAAGCAGTAACACACACCTGCTGGTAGCGTTACATGCATGCTCATGTTATCTAGTTATCTCTGTGTGTGAGACTATGTGAATTTATATATAACTTCAGAAGAAATGTGATCCCTTGACTACAAATAAGAACACTGCTAAGAATATACATTGCACACTCAGTATGTGATTATGCTACTCATGTCACCAAAGGCCACCACAAGGATCGTTTTTATAATATCAGTTTTTATTGTTTTTTTAATGGTGGTGCTCAGGAACATACAGTAGCTACTTTTTTTTATCTTAAGATTCTAAATGTGTACATACTATTTCTAAGGTTTATTTAGACGTGTGCTTTGATGTTAATCATTTGTATGCATCTTTTATTTTCATTGTATATTTGAAGCATAATCTACAGTATATCATGTTACGTAAATGTACTGTATGTTGTTACTGGTGTCTGTGAGCTGGTGTCTCTATTCATGTGTGTTTCACGGTCGTCTGGTTGGTGTAAGTGTGGATACTTTATATCCTGGTCTTCCCCCTGGTAGCTCGCTTGGTGCTATGTTCCTTATGGGCTGTGTGATCTGGGCTATGGCCGACGATGGGCTGCTTTTCAAGTTCATGGCCGAGATCAGCCCCCGCACCAAAACCCTGCTAACTGCAACCCTCACCTCTGGCGTAGGGGCAGGTGAGACACTAACACGCATGTTTTAAAACAGCATCCATTTTAAATTAAGTTTTTTTCATGCTACATGGCTGAGCTCCGCTTGGTTAAAAATACTCTGGCCTTCTGATTGCAGAGTTTATTTTAACTGTGTTTTGAACAAACTTGCCAAAAACAGAGCTCCAGCATGAAAAGAGCATCACTAACTGTCATGGTCAGGTCTCTCTGTAATTGGTTGATGCCGTCCTGGTTATTTATTGTTATTTTTTTTAATAATGGGTCCGTTTCTACAGGTCTTACCCTCAAAGTGATTTTTGTCCTACTTGTATTTGGTGGTTAAGATATGTAAACTGCAAACTAAACTGCTTGCGGAAGTAACCACAGATGAATGAAACAAATGGAGAGTGACCACAATATTTTTATATCAGCTGAAAAAATGTTGCATGCTGATATTAGAATATCCTTTGACCAACATCATGCTCATGTTACTCTCCCTATGCACATTCTCCACTCCTAATCTGCAACTCCTTTCTCACCAATCGTATGTTTCCTTGTGCTAATTCTTCGCCCTTGTCCTCTTCAGACCTCTAGCAATGTTTCCTTTCTCCTTGGTCCTCTGTTCCACACCTACAACTGTCATCCCAATCTGATGTTTTCCTCCCCAGTCTGTTGGGTTCCATGTTCCCACTACCCCGCATCATCTTTGCCATGGCTCGGGATGGCCTGCTCTTCTCCTTCCTGGCCCGTATCAGCAAGAGGAAATCCCCCGTAACCGCCACTATGGCCGCCGGGGTCATGTCTGGTAAGATGGACATCTATTTGTCATGGGTTACAGGGGAATGTTCTCACTATTATCTGCATTTGTGACCTTTACGCTGTACACCTACATCGTTGTAAGGTTGCTCTACACAACGGAGTTAAACAGCAATGCTGACATGCTAATGTTCTGCAGATATAACCATGTTAAAGGTGGGGTAGGTAATTTTGGAGAAACCAGCTTGAGTGCGCTAGAATTTGAAAATACACAGCCGGAAAAAATCTGCCACTTCCTTACAGAGCCCCTCCTCCAACACACACAAACGCGCACATGACCAATGAGGGCACGAGATAAGTTTGTGCACAGATGGAAGGCTGACAGGCAGGTAGGCCATCCAGTTATTTTAGCCGGGCCGGCTAAAATGATTGGTCGTGCTTTTTACAGTATTACGGCTTCCACAGATGACATTTTTTAATGGATTTTTTGTCAAAGCACTTAAGATATTCATTGCTATCGGGATGTTAAGAGCATTCCATGGAATATAACAAAAAGTGTATCTCGAGCCGGTTTCTCAAACTTACCTACCCTACCTTTAAGTGGATTCAGCATGGTAGCTTGCTAGCTTCTGTAGCTAAAATGAAATAAAAATAACACAAGACATTTAAACCTTTAGTTTAAAGACATCTTTATGGACAATCAGAGAACATATTGCAGTGCTATCAATTGTGTCTTCTTAGGAGTTCTTAGGATCAAACAAATCTAATCTTTCCACCTTCTTTCCCTCTCTTTTTATTTTCTTTCGTTTTGAAGCTATCATGGCGTTTTTGTTCGACCTGAAGGACCTGGTGGACCTGATGTCGATAGGGACGCTGCTGGCCTACACATTAGTGGCTGCCTGTGTCCTGGTGCTCAGGTCAGTGGGGGGGGACATAAGAACATAGGGTTTAACCTGGGACACCGATTCAGGGTATCAGATTAATTTGGGAGTTGGTTCTATGAACAGCTTCCTGTTTCCACAAATGTGTATATCTTTTTTTTTAGCAACGCTTGAAACCCAGCACTGCATTCTTGTTGAAAGCTGTTTCACACTCTGTTAATTTACGCTTTAAATGTGACTGCAGCTGACATTATACTATCATTGGCAACTCATAAACAATGCACTGTACATGCTCCATTTCTCTAAGTTACAACTGGAACTATCTATTAAAGTCGTGATGACAAAACATCTTATTGTTTGTTTTTGAATGTGTTAGGTATCAGCCTGAGCTGGTGTATGAAATGGCTAATACCCAGGATGAGGGGGAGCAGAGCGACCGCATCAGTGTCCCCAGTATGGGCATCCTGCCTGGGATGGAGCAGAGTTTCAGCTTCAAGACCCTCCTGTTTCCAGACAACACTGAGCCATCCACACTGTCGGGCTTCTCTGTCAACATCTGTACCTCTATCATGGGTAGGTGATCGCAGATTCAGTGTATTCATTCAAAATCTATTTTTACTGAGTCCTGAGTGTTAAATGAAGTGCTTGTGTCGTATTAAACTCTATTACAATGTATGCGCTTCTGCAGGAACATTGATCCTGGCGTTCTGTATACTGGCGGTGCAGGGAGGCTTTGCTGCGTGGAACATTGTAGCCATCAGCGTCATCTTCATGGTGTGTCTCGTCCTCACCTTCATCATCTGGAGACAGCCTGAGAGCAAGACGAAACTTTCATTCAAGGTTTGATTCCAGAAACGCAATCTTTGTGCATCAAAAACAGAAATGTTTTGCCTTAACATTTATTGTTTACAATGTCTTAACAGAGGTTGTTTCATTTCTCTCTAGGTCCCTCTGCTACCCTTCATTCCAGTGATCAGCATGTTTGTGAATGTTTACCTGATGATGCAGCTGGACAGAGGAACTTGGATACGGTTTTCTGTCTGGATGGCAATAGGTAGGTCATCTCTATTTATATCACAGTGTCAGGAAATATGTTGAACCCCTTTAGGGAGACTTGTTATGCCCATTTTTTAAGGTGCATACCCGTATTTGAGTTTCTATCAGAACATGTTTACATGCTTTAATCTTCAAAAAACTAAATATATAATTCAGACCGTCTGTATACATTTACTGGTATTTGTTCTCTTTGAGCCCATCCCAGAAAAGCTCAGTCTGCTGTGATTGGTCAGTGTTTCTGGTCTCTTGTATCTGCGCTTTGTTCATCCCTGCACCATCAGTGCAGCCTGGGAATCACTGTCATGCCCTGTCAGCACTTTCTACCTATATATAGTGTATAATTGTGATATCACTATCATTTGGAAGATAAGATGGCTGGATAAAGCATCATCCGTCTCATACACTGATTACCCGTAACTTTATTTCCTTTAGTAGCTTGAAAAGGTCAAGCCAAAAAGAGTCAGCCTTATGTCGTCATTTTATTTGAACACAGTTGCAAGCTGTAACTGTACTGAACCTGTTGTTCATGGCTTTGTATTCGTAGGTTTCGTGATCTACTTCTCGTACGGCATTCATCACAGCGTTGAGGGAAAATTGTCCCGCTCGTCTCCAGGCACCGAGATGAACGGTTTCAAAGGCAACAATGATCCACAGGCCAGGTCCCATGAAAAAGAGGCCTTCCTGAACAGTGGTATTGATGGCGAGGAAGAGGACGATGGAGATTTGTAGGAAAGCATTTTAACATGCTGTTTAGATTTCAAACTCCCCCAACGCAAGTCTGTCTGCATAAGAGTCTTTTAGACTAGACGACTCCCTGTCATTACTTCCTTTTTGTGAAAGCAATGATGAATAACATTGACCTAAAATTCACACACCTGTGACCTTCGCCGAGACTACTGGATAAAGATTCAGAAAACTGACACCTTGACCCTCCTTAAGCCATATTTGACATGTATTATTTGGTATTTTTGAATAGGCTTGTTACCCTTTTTGCATGGCCTTGAGCTTTAACTAGTGGTTATAGCTTGGCCGTTTGAGGGGGGAGGGCTCATGTTGGATGAGGAACATTTTAGTGTCTCATGGAGCTATAAGATCGGGCTTACATTGTTGGCAGGAGGACGATGTGATGCAGCTTTCATATGGGTGCCAGAAAGTTTAACAGTAATAAACGTTTTGTTTTTCTTTCTTATATAATAATTACTCTACCATCTACATAATTCACAGTCAGTATTAAATACAGCTTGGTAGCAAATGCTATATTTTCAAAAACCTGATAGCTCTCTTTCAATGTTACTGACTGTTGAATCGCTGCTCTTCCAGCCGTCTCTGACAACAAAAGAAAGCTTGCAAAATACACTGCAACATATTTGTCAATGATGTTATTACCCCTGTTCAACAGAAGCAAAGGGTGGTCTGGTGTTTGGCTGCACAAACAGTTTAAGTGATCCAGCAGGAAGATGAAGCTTACAGTTTCCAAAAGTCCAATTTTAGGTCAGAAGGATTGCATTGAGGCCGTCTGAGGTCCCAGGCTTTAACTTGCAAAAGGGAAAGGTCGGCGTTTGGGGCTGGGCAATATGGCCGAAGTCTTCTGTCATGATATAGGTCATTAAATATCTATATCTCTTTATTGCACGATGTAGCATGTTTTCTGGCCTATTGGTGTATGCTCCTTTGTAAATGTTATAGTAAGAGCTGTTATTTTCAATTTAGACTGATTCATTGTGTATCACAATATTTCAATATAAATTATTTGATCACTTTACGCTTCCTTTGAAAGACGATAAATGATCTTATTGAGTTAATGCCCAGCCCTACTTGCATCCTACTGTGGTTCTACAATATGGCTCAAATACAGGCATATGTATTTGCAAGAACCAAACAACATCAATAATATGCCATGGATCTGCAAATAATGACGCAGACAAGGCTGTACAAGACATTAAACAACACATCCTGTTGGACGGTTCCTTATTGTGAGACAAGTAATTCCATCCAAACCCCCACAGGATCATGGGACTACAAATCGTGTACCTGCTATCTGATTAAACACCATCAAAATAATAATGACAGTTGTTAGAATATGCTCTCTTATTTGGGATATTCAATACCCTTGTAAATGAATGGAATCCTGATACATGTTGAGCATCAGGTGAAGACATTGACAGTTGCTGAATGTCAGTTCATGTAATGTGACATTAGATAAAAGCAAATATTCACAGTGCTGGCTGCTGTGTAACTTTGCATCTGTAGCTTGTAACATTGAACGTCTCTTTTCAAAAATAAAACAGAGCAACTTTTTTTTCTTAAAATGTTCAATTTGGAAGTATTTGTTCTCTGATTTCACGCCTTTTCTGATGTTTATGAATGTCTTTTTATTCCCAGCGGTCATTTTCATTGTGCTTTTCAGATCCACATTGATAGGAATACTTTGATCAGGTACTTTCTACACTCTTTATAGACATACACGATTAATCCATAGATTTATCAAGGCTCTCCCATGCCTACATTGCCCACAATGCAATTCAACTTCCAACAGTTCAGTTGTAGTTTGTTTTGCTAAGTGTCTAACATACCCTCGAGCTTCTAGCTTCAAACAGTGATGAGCAGCTAGCTTCGAATTCTTGTTCTGTAAACTCACTTTATGTGACTCCATGTCGCCCCAATTTAATTTAATTTGTTTTTATTTCCAACTTGTAGTCTTCAGACCTAACCTATAGGGCCTGAAGTGACATCACATCTATCAGACTGTGCACTTGTATCATTTTCACATTTAGTTTGAACCTTTAGGTGAATATATTGGGGTTCTGGGGGTCCTTTACTACAAATTAGCTGTCTGTCTATGAAGAAACATGTACAACCAAGTGTATGTATATTTGATATTGTTTATATTTCTTGCAGTAAATTATTTGTAAATTAGAAGAGGTTTATGATCTGTTTTGCCCTATTATCTGTGTCTGACATTGTTTTGCTTATATTGTGTTCACAAGGTCAGTGCAACTGAAACCTTGTTTGCTCAGGGTCTGTCTTCACCTTCCTTTGTCCTCACTTTATCCATTGGTGCCTTTATAGCAAAAGAGTGCTGTGATGAGACTATACATTAAGCATATTAGCATGATGTGGCAGAATGCATTTATTTGGGGTTATAGTGGGCTGCCATATCTTTACTTTTAATAGTAGGACCTTTTCTGAATGCAAATATACTGAATTGAGCATTTGTTTTGGTAATATTTCTTTATTTACTTACTTGTAGTAATCTCATTTACCATATTATTTTCTTCAAAGAAATATTTCCGCATAATAACATAGCCTCTGATTTAAGTTTCAACTTAAAGGGGACCTATCATGCAAAATGCACTTTTGTACGTCTTTTATACATGAATATGTGTCCCCGGTGTTCCAGGGAACTCACCAAGTGTCAGAAAACTCAACCCTCTCTATTTTCCTCCATACCCAAATCTCTAAAAAAGGGGCTGCAACGGATCTGATAAAAACGGATCCAGATTTGAACACTGTCCTGACGTCAGGACAGTGGCGCTACGGCTATTGGGCCAACTCCACCAATCAGGAGGAGACAGCCACGGCCATTGCCGTTCGAAAGCGCTGGAGACGCTGTAGTACATATGCCAGGCCTGTAGATGGTGCTGTTCTCACTGAATCTGCCCTTGCTAAAACAGATCTAAAAAATGTCAAATTGAGCGAAATGAGGCATGGCTAAAATGCATGATCTGTTTGGTATTTTGAAAAAAAAAAGTATAAATATGCCTTATATAGGTATGGTCCTACACTATATTATTCAAATATAGCATGATAGGTCCACTTTAAATTTGCCTTGTTAGGTGTAAATATACAAATGGAGGTGTATATGAATAAACAGAGGCTAATTTCTTCCTTTACATAACGTCAAACTTCAGTTTTAATGTTAATTCTAAAGTCAGATGTAAAATAAATATAAAAGTAGCTTATGATGCTGCTTTAAACCCCAACTGACCTATAGCTTCCCTTTACATAACGTGTGTCACATAATGGGGCTATTGATGTTTCAAATCCAAATGTTGATGACTGCTTGCTTTATCTTTTACTATAATTTCATCACTTTCTAAGACTTTATTTCCTGTTTTTTCTTGGTTGTTAAAAGCTTTTCGTGGCTTTATAGCTGTACATGTTAAAAACCCAATACTTATTTTCAATTTTTACCAATGTCAACATGTTGGCTTAATAGTAGGCATTTACTCATATAGTAAAGACACATTATTTTAGCTTGTGTCCACTCTTTGTTTCCCTTTTTTGTCTTTGTTTGCTTCATGCCTTACTGTAAATAAATCAAGCTTTTCAACCTCCAGGCTGCTACCTTTGGTGGCCTTTTATTCTGAAATCCAGGAACAGACTTTTCATAATAGGCTACTTCTCACATGATCCAGCAGAGAGCGCAAATGTGTTGACAGACAGACAGAGAGACAGAGGAGCAGAAGGATGCTCTGCCAGGTGTCGGCTGCAGCATCAGCACCGCTCCTCCTCCTCTTCCTACACCACCTCCTCCTCTTCCTCCTGTCCGCAAGATCTCTCTCTCTCTCTCCTTGCACTGCGAGTCAGAAAGAGAGATAGAGAGAGAGTGGACACACACGCGTTGTGTTTCGTTTTGCAACTCCACTGCATATGACCTGCATTCTTGGATGATTCAACACCAGAGAAACCTGAAGGTAAGTCGCACAACTGAAAACACTGCGGGTTTGTTGTATTTGATTCTTCGAAGTCCCGCATCGGTCTCTTTAAGAAGTGTCGCAGGTACTTTGATTGTATGATTCGGGTCTTGGTGTTGACTCGGTTTCGCTATACGCATGTTTAGATACATACGAATCTGATGCATTGATTTTGAGCACGCACAATGCCGTGCAGCTTGTAGGGGGAGTTGTGTTTCTGCAGAAAAACAAACAGAAACCCCCGTAATATTGAAGTTGAGCCGCAGATCGCAGTGTAAGTGGAGCAGTAGGGTAAAGCAGAGCATATTGTGGCTGGAGAGAGAGTGAGGTCAGACAGGGAAGAGCCGCTGTGATGCAGCAGGTCAAGTCTCTGTGGGTGAAGCTAATGATCGCACGTAGATTATCCAGGCTTTAGACCTAACCTGACCATGATCCACTGTACTGAGACAAACTAAATAATTTACAATGTGCATTTTTTTTCATTTCTATTATTATTATTAATGTGTTAGTTATTTGTGGTCACCAATTTGTATTTGAATTTCCAGCATCAAGACAAACAAATCTTAAATGGTGACATGCTAGAAGGGTTGCCAATTGTTTTATAGCTGTATTGAAGTGCTGTTATGCTGACATAGCTATTTAATGGAAGTGTTTTTTTAAAGAGCAGTGTAAAGAATGAGGAAAAGGCTCTCTCTAACTCATCGAGGACTTTTTTTGCACAGATATTGGTTTTATTTTGTCAAATTCCTCCATTCTTAATCTTCCCGTTTCCTCACTTCACCTTATTATTCCACATTTCTCTTCGCATAACTCATGTGCAAAGCCGAATGCAACTGAAATGCACAGTATGTGTATGTGCTTTAGCTACTTTATTAACAATACTCATGTCCTCAGCCTCACCTTTAGGCTACTTAGAAGCAGGGGAGGATAGAAAGACAGAAAGGGGTGGATCAAGTTAAGGTGAGCACAATGAGGGCAGCATGTCTTCCACACTCAGCTGTCTCCAGTTCTGAGTGATTGGTGTCTGATGATCAGGTTGTCCTTGAAACTGTGTGTGTGTGTGGGGGGGGGCAGTTTTCCTGTATTTGTTAGTGTGCATCACATATCTTCACTTACTGAAATTAAACTTGTGTAGTTGATTAACTTTGCATAAATTCACATAGTTTAGCACTTGGCTTGGCTGCCCAGACATGTGGTCGATGGACCCTGTGCATAAAATGTGTTTTATAAGTGGTTTATTTTGTGTTTATTGGAATTGTCTGCTGCCAATATCGATCCCGGTATCACAGACTTCCCACGTCTATGGATCATCCAGTCCATCTTGCTAAACCTTGCCATTCCCTCCCAGTCATGTTGATGTGGAGTTTGACGCTGCATCAAAGTAGGGCAGCAGAGCCTGTGGCCTCGGCTGTAGCTGCTGTTCTAGATGCTGATGCATGTGTGATTGATTCATTACATCTGACCTCTGCAGAGTCTGAACGGCGATCAATTCAGCAAATCTCTGTCAGGAAAACCACTCGCAGTAGTGTGTATATGAGTGTGTGTGCGTGTTTTGTTGTAGTTCTCGGGCTCAGGTGCTTATGTATGTGCGAGTGTTCCTGCAGGTAAGACCATTTGTCACAAAGCCCATGAGTGTAGCCTCAAGGTCATTTTATAGGACAAAACGGAGGAGAGGAAGGATGAGGGAGGGAGAAAACTGAGATGATAAGTGAAGGAGAAACAGGAGGAACGTATGTATGTAGCCTCTCTAATGTATGTGGTGCGTTGTATGTATTCTTTCTCCTTTATTTATACACAAGTGGTGTGCAAATTGATACTACATTGGTTCCTCAAAAGACAGAATGACAGAAAGATGAGGCTGCAGTTATTCCTCTCACCTGTGTTGTGATAACTCATAATTGAAACATTTTAGAGGCATCTCTTTGCTCAGTAGAAGAATGGTGCATGTGTGTGTGTAGATCTCAACACACGTGCAAACACACATTTTCAAATTCTCGCTGCCTTTGTCTGTGAGGTGGCAATGAGCTTGTTGTAGCTCCTCCCCTGCAGTCACAGGCAGGACATCAGAGGCTGAGCAGAGGCACGCCTCCACTGATCACACACACACACACACACACACACACACACACACACACACACTTCCCTGCCCTGTGGGGAGTCAACATAAAAGACCCTTTTCACTTGTGTGTGTATACATGTGCGTCAATTTGCTGAGTTTATACACTCAGTTTAAGGGAAGTGCAAATGTATTTTGGTGTATTTAAATAACATTAGTCAGCAAGATACCACCCTTATTAATGAAACCAATGCTATAAATGAAGCTTGACTGGATGTGTGCAGCAGTTTTATTTTTTCATCAGGAAAAACTGTAGCAGTAAGTGCTATACTTAACTTGACTTCAGAAAAGCCACAGTCATTTATTTTTTCCGATACTTTACCAGACAGTACATTCTTTTTGAAACCTCTTCCGTGTTCCCAAAGATAAACTTATCTTTCAGAGCAGCCATCCTGAGTTCTTTGCCCCGTCCTGCACTCTCTCACCTTTCTTTGTCCAATGTATGAAAACAGTCTGTTTCTTACCCACACACAGCCGCTTCAAACCCTTTCCATATTATTTCTTTTGCACATCGTTACCACCTCAAAAAACCTCAGCTCGCTCTATTCTCCGCTCACCTCTCACTGATCCTTTGCCAGTTTTCCCTCCCCCACACTCCTGGGGTTTGCCACTTCCACATTACATATGCATACACACTCTCACACATTGCAATACAAAGTAGATCCCCCTCGACCCTATATCACCCCCCAACCCCATCTCCTGGCTCTCTGCAGCTTCATTTGTTACACATTTTCTCAAAATAAACTGAAGTGACTCAGCCAGTCTAAGTTGCCTCTCTTTGTCTGGGCTGCCTCATCTCGCCAGCTGTATGTCTGACTGTGTACGTCTGTGTGTGTGTAAACTTCCTCACAGTCCCACAGAGAATTCTACTATTGCAGAATGATTTTTGCTGCAACTGCTTTGCATTTGAAGTGAACACCTTCCCTCTGCTCTTTGTCCCCTCATACAGTTTCATCCTCCAGCCATGCAAGAGTTAATATTTTTCTCTGCGACAGGAGTGAGGGTAGTGGGTGGAGGGGCTTTGCTAATAACAATGCGGTGCAAACGGCAAACAGCGTGGACACCCCTTTCTCTCCTCTCCTCCATGCCACCCTTGTTTGCATCTATGCTTTAACTGTAACTCAGTGAACCAATAACTCATAAGTCTCGTATCGGTTCCTAATTGTCTCTCCCAGACAGCAGCAGACAGTATTTCTTATCACGCTAATCTTTTTACCGGTTCCTCTTGGCTTATTGTTCCCAACTCATTGTCATTTCTCTTCTCATTTCATGCACATTTGTCTTCCCTTTATTCATCTGAACTTACATCCATTCTCACAGGCTGCTTGGCAGAGCAAAACCAGAAAGGAAATGCAGGACCATGTCTGATTTAGTGGAGATTCATTTCCAAGTACTTGCCAAAAGCAATGCTAAAAGAAAATGATAATGAAGGAGATTTTTCCTCAGTAAGTGTGCTTCTGCAAGACACATTTTCTCCCAGTGAGAAGCTGTCTCTTTGTCTCTGCTCCAGCTGCAGCAATAGTCTCTGCCTGAGTGTGTTGTTGTGAGTAGGATGAAGCCATGTGTAACTTTGCAGACACACAAGCAAGTGCATTCATTGAGCTCACATCGGAAATCAATCATGTTACTTTAGGTTTTGAATGTTCTTTGGGATTACTCTATTTCCTTTTTTAATGCAGTTTGTCATCTTGTCCACAGTGTGAATAACATCATTGCGTGTGAACATGCATTGATGGATGTGTGAACACGTGGCTTCATTTTTTCATTTAGCCTCGGCTAATAAATCCTGTTATCAGCATCTTTTGCTTTTCCGACGATTTCATAGCAGGTCGCAAATACCATTTCAATACGGAAAATAAATCAGCCTTTTATTGCAGATGATCCAATTATATCATTCTGCTTATTCAGTTAGGTATGATCACCCACTCTGACCCCAGATCCTGCAGAAATCCTGTTACAGTTCCCCCTGGCGATACAGAGTGATTCCCCCTGGGGTCCAAGTGTGTGTATGTGGGAGAGAAGTGGGAGAGAGAGAGGCAGAGGGGAAGAGAGGAGGGATTATTTGGGCAGATGTAGTCTGCTAATGTGCCCTCTGTAAGGATGGAAATGGGATTGATCACTTCACCCTGCCCTCATTAACTCTGTATTATTAAGGTGGAAGAGTTGATGGAGGGAGGGAGAAGAGATAGAGACACACATGATACAAATATTTTGAGAAGGCAATAAAACACATGGGAATAACTGCAGGGATAACGCTTCATTTAATACAGTTTGGAGCTATTTGAAACTGTGCAGTGAGGGAAGCAAAGATTGTTGATAAGGAGCCACTCTGTAGTTTTTTTGATGCGCATAAAGTGCAGAGCAACTGGAGGGTACTATTTCTGGATATTTCCCAGTTCTGCCTCACTGTTCTCTGCGATGGTAATCCCTCTGCTGTGCATGGTGAGCTGCTGCTTGCTTCACACATACAAGGCAGAGTTTAATGAATCATCACTTGTGAAATTCTGTCTACAGGGTGCCTATTGTGTCTTCTGTGAAAACGAGCATTTAGCTTATTTCGGTGCTATTTCTGTGTTGTGTTGCTGACAGGGATGGGGAGGAGAAGGAATGGATGACTAAAGCTTAGCTTATTTCTGAATAGACTTTCTCACTAAGCCTTATCCTGCTGGATGATTATATGTGAATAGAATACAAAGTACAAGGAGAGACGAATACAGATTTCTTTTGACTCCCAAAATGTACAAAATGAAGATTGTCTCTATGTGCAGAATTTCTCGGTTTATTTTCGTATGTGTAAATGCATCCACATTCTGCAGAGTGTAAATGTTCACAAGTTCACACTCACATTCAGCTCACACTCTCACACACACCAACACAATCCAGG